CCACGAAACGTGTGAGGGGTGTGCCGAATTGGGTGGGTGTGGGTGACGCATGTGAGCGCCGCCACTGGGGCCTCCGGTGGATGATGGGGCCACGAAACCTGTCAGGGATGTGCCGAAATGGGTGTGCGGGACGCATGCGCATGTGACGCGCCGCCACTGGGGCCTTCGGTGGAGCTCCCTATGGGGCCACGAAACGTGTGAGGGGTGTGCCGAAATGGGTGTGGGTGACGCATGCGGGCGCGGGCACTGGGGCCTTCGGTGGAGCTCCCTATGGAGCCACGAAACGTGTGAGGGGTGTGCCGAAATGGGTGTGGGTGACGCATGCGGGCGCGGGCACTGGGGCCTTCGGTGGAGCTCCCTATGGAGCCACGAAACGTGTGAGGGGTGTGCCGAAATGGGTGTGGGTGACGCATGCGGGCGCGGGCACTGGGGCCTTCGGTGGAGCTCCCTATGGAGCCACGAAACGTGTGAGGGGTGTGCCGAAATGGGTGTGGGTGACGCATGCGGGCGCGGGCACTGGGGCCTTCGGTGGAGCTCCCTATGGAGCCACGAAACGTGTGAGGGGTGTGCCGAAATGGGTGTGGGTGACGCATGCGGGCGCGGGCACTGGGGCCTTCGGTGGAGCTCCCTATGGAGCCACGAAACGTGTGAGGGGTGTGCCGAAATGGGTGTGGGTGACGCATGCGGGCGCGGGCACTGGGGCCTTCGGTGGAGCTCCCTATGGAGCCACGAAACGTGTGAGGGGTGTGCCGAAATGGGTGTGGGTGACGCATGCGGGCGCGGGCACTGGGGCCTTCGGTGGAGCTCCCTATGGAGCCACGAAACGTGTGAGGGGTGTGCCGAAATGGGTGTGGGTGACGCATGCGGGCGGGCACTGGGGCCTTCGGTGGAGCTCCCTATGGGGCCACGAAGCGTGTGTGCCGTGTGCGCATGCGGGCGCTAGCTGGAGCAGAAACGTGTGAGGGGTGTGCCGAAATGGGTGTGCGCATGCGGGCGGGCACTGGGGCCTTCGGTGGAGCTCCCTATGGAGCCACGAAACGTGTGAGGGGTGTGCCGAAATGGGTGTGGGTGACGCATGCGGGCGCGGGCACTGGGGCCTTCGGTGGAGCTCCCTATGGAGCCACGAAACAGTGTACTGGGTGGGTGAAGAGGAGAGGAGAAGAGGAGAGGAGAGGAGAGGAGAGGAATGATGATGATAATGATGATGATAATGATGATGATGATGATGATGATGATGATGATGATGATGATGATGGATGGATGGATGATGGGATGGAGGAGAAGTGAACGCGGGGCGCTGTCTCTTCAAAACGAAGACCCAGACCCAACACCACAGGATGGTTGGGAACTACCATGTGCACCGGAGAGGGGGGTCAAGAAAACATATTTCAATAGTGAGAGTTCAACAGCAACAGCAACAACAATAATTTGACCATCATGCGCGGTGTTTCCACACGAAGCATGCGATCATCATGACAACCATCCCCATCATGGGGGACCTTTGTTCTATAGCGGGGTCTGTTCTTCTCATTCCCAGATCTCCCGCCAAATGAGGTCTTGCAAACACCTCCTCCGAAGAATTTCAACATATCCCACCTCGAAAACAAATGACCGCGCCTTGCTGCGCCGATGCGAGACCGCCAGAGGAGCCCTGGCCAAGGGTATAGCAAAAGGAAATATCGAACGACAGGATTACCTTGGTGGAGATGGGGGCTGTCGGCGGCGAGGCAAGGACCTGGCCCTGAACAGAAAGCTGCTGCTCCTCCTCCTCCTCTGCCTTCTCCTTTGCCTCCTCCGCCTCCTCCTACCCTTTCTCCTCCTCCTCCTCCTCCTCTTCATGCTCCTCCTCTTCCTCCTCCTCCTCCTCCTCCTGCTTCTCCTTCGCCTCGTCCTGTTCCTCCTCCTCCTCCTCCTCCTCCTCCTCTTCCTCCTCCTGCTCCTGCTCCTGTTCCTGCTCACGCTCCTGCTCTTCTTCTTCCTCTTCCTCTTCCTCTTCTCCAGTTATCCTCTTCCCCTTTCTGTTCCTCTTCCTCCTCCTATTCCTATTCATCTTCCTCTTCAAATATTCCTCCTCCTCTTCCTCGTCCTCTTACTCTTCCTGTTCCTGTTCCTCTTCCTCTTCCTCCTCTTCCTCCGCCTCCTCCTCCTGCTCCTCCTCCTTTTTCTCCTCTTCCTCCTCCTCCTCCTCCTCCTCCTCCTCCTCGTCATCATCATCAGCATCATCAGCATCATCAGCATCATCATCAACCGCATCAGCACCAGCAGCATCATCAGCATCAGCAGCAGCATCAGCATCATCATGAGCAGCAGCATCAGCATCAGCATCATCATCAGCAGCATCCGCATCAGCAGCAGTATACGCGTCAGCATCATCGTCAGCAGCATCAACATCAGCATCATCAGCATCAGCAGCAGCAGCAGCATTATCCTCATCATCATCATACTCATCATCATCCTCATCAATATCATCATCAGCGGCATCATCATCAACATCATCATCATCAGCAGCAGCAACAGCATCATCATGACCACAGTTATAATTGTCATCGTCGTGATCATCATCATCATCGTCATCATCATCCTTATCATCAGCAGCATCAGCATCATCATCAGCAGTATCAGCAGCAGTGTCACCAGCAGCAGCAACAGCATCACCACCATCACCACGACCACCATCGTCCTCATCATCATCAGCAGCATCATCATCCGAAAAATAAACGTAATCAGCATCATCATCATCAGCATCATCATGGTCAAAATCAGCATCATCATCGTACTCATCATCAGCATCACCAACATCATAAGCATCAGCAGCATCACCATCAGCATCGTCATCATCATCACCAACGGCATCATAAGCATCGCCGTCACCATCATCATTGGCATCATACTCATCAGCAGCAGCAGCAGCAACACCGCCATCATCATCAGCAGCATCAACATCATCATCAGCAGCAGCGTCAGCATCATCGCCATTATCATCGCCAACATCACAAAAGCATCAACATCATCAGCATCACCATGATCATCAGCGTCTGCCTCCTCCTCATCCAGTCTTCATGTGCTCATCTCCTTATCGTCCTCATCCTCCTCATCCTCCCCCTGCTCCTGTTGCCTGCTCCTGCGCCTCCTCCTCATCCTCCTTTTCATCATCCTTCTTCCCCTCGTCCTTCGACGGCAAATTTTGAAGGTCCATTCGTGGGGGTGCTCAAGCTGATTCTGAGTTTCGGCTTGACGGCTGGCTCACCTGTCTGTTCAACCGCATGCACATACAATTCCCTGGTCAGTTCAACTCGCCAGGGTTTTTTTTCTGTATGGGCGGTTGGGGATATTTGTTTGGCACGCGGGCTCGCGAAGCAAGTCGAAAGCCAGGCACAGCTAGGGGTTGGCGGGGATACTTTTTGGTACGCGGGCGCGCGAAGCAGAGTCGAACGCCGAGAAAGCCAGGGCGGGCCGCGCCACTAGCACAGGGCGGGACGGGGCTCAACGCTGCCAAAATTGCGCGGACGGCATCACCAGACACCGGGATCACTCACAGCAACAATGTAGGGAAACCCACACTACACCAGGACGGCGATGACGGGAAACGCAAGCACCCCACGTAGCTTTGCCGAACACGCGGTCCATGGGGGCGGCAAAAGATGAAACAGGCGCCTCGACCACAGAGAAAATGCCACACTTACCCACAAGCGCGGTGACATACAATGCGAGAGAGACCGTCGTTCAATTCCCCAAGTACGCGTGTCGAACTCGACGTCATAAACCCTTCGGCCAGACAGACATACAGAAGCGACGGGGCAACCCCACAGGACCAACGTGAACGACACCGAAGCGACCGGCGTGGGCAACGCGAGGAAGTCGCGCCAAGCGGACGCCGAATGGCAAGCGGCCTCCACATTCCCAGGAAGAGGCTGTTGAGGATTTTTTTGGCTCTCGAACGACGCGGTCAGCCGCGCGCCGTCAGGAAAGTCAAGAAAGTAGCGCAAGCCCTGCTGTCGCAAGTGTGATGCGGAAATGGGGCCACAAGGGTGGCGAAAGCTACAGAGCGGAGACAAGCGTCAAAAAGCGGATACTTTTTTGGTCCGCGGGCTCGCGAAGCAGGTCGACAGTCGTCCGAACACTGGCCAGGCCGCGACTAGGCAGCAAGAAAAGAGAGGCAAGCGAAGTGAGTGCGCGGGCAGCCACTCAGAAAAAGAAGAAGAAGAAGAAGAAGAGCCAGAAACAAAACTCCCAACCCGGTGGCGTGAAGACCCCGGTGGCGACCATCAAGTCTGCGCAGCCAAAATGGCGCGGCGGCGCGACCATGAACACGCAGAGGTCGATCACTCGTTGTGAGTCGGCACAAGGCCCGACAAATACGAGCAGGACCGACAGGCACAGCCAGACGACGTCCGTGCCGTAGACGACACAACAACATCGTGTCAGTGCAAGAGTGAAGAGGGGCAACCTCGTCACAGACAGGACTGCAAACGGCAAACCTCTTGATTGTACAGCAGTGGCACATGTCGAAAGCGACGTCATGTAGGAGAAAGCAGCCGACAGGCGCACAGAGCCACACATGCCGAAGTCCTTGCACCGAAGAGGACGGCAGCGTAGCGAGACCCCACTGAACCCAAACGGTCACCAGCGGACCAGTCAAAAAGCGGATACGCGAAGCGTCAAAAACTTCCCTTTGCCCATTCCCCTGCAGCCTCCATTCATGTTGCTCGCTAAGCGCCACTGATCCCTTTTGCCGACCACTACGGAGTCGAGCGTTCGCAGCTGACGATGCTCAAGCAGGCGACGTGACACTTCCGCCTGACTGCACAATGCTGCAAAAGCTTGCCCTGTAAAGGTACCAGGATTGACCAGATGGCATTGCAATGTTCCTGGCGATGTTCTGCCTCTCATGAAAAGTAGAAGGACAAGAAAAGCGGTGACGAGTATGAATCCGGTACGAGTATGAATCCCGAGTGCACGGTAGAGACAACCAACGACCGAGGTCGCCAATGTAAAGAAACCAATCCTGAATGCGGGTCTTCACCACGTCCACTGGGGTCAGCGCGCCGTGAGTGAGACCTCCCAAGCAACCACTTGCTCACTTGTACCAGCTCTGTGACATGTTCCGTACTCGCCATCGCTGGACCACTCGCTCAATCGCCAATTTGCAAGACTCTAAACAAGAGGCCAAGTAGTCACACAAATTGATATCGATTGCGCTCCATCCCCATCCCTCCTCTCGTCAATCTATCTTACGTGACTTGCCGATGCCCTTCCCCGCTATCGCTGCGCGTCTGCCTCCACGGCTGCCACGATAGGGTATGTTTCACCCCGCACTTCGGTCAGTCAAACGTTTGACTAGTGATACTCAGTGTCCCCCACGAAGTCGCCCCAGCGGAGACTCAGCATTCCTACTACCTACCAGCGACCGTGGGCCTCGTAGGCCGCAATAGCTCACTTTGCACTGGCACAGAGCGGGGAGTCGTCAAAGCACCTCCATCCTTTCGGATCAGTCAGCATCGCGACGGTAAATCGAATCGAATCCAAAGGTGCGTCGGATCAGGCTGCATCGGCACGCAATTGAAATCGAATCGGATTGGCTGCGCAAGGATGCACCACAGCGCAATGTAAAGAACGGCCCGCGTCGGATCGGCGGTACGTCAGAATCGCATCGGATCGGGCCGGCCAGAATGGATATCGAATCGGATCGATCGGATCGAAACGGATCCTGCTCTCGAGCCGGACGCAAGGGAGGTCAGCAGAGGTGGAGAGTAGCGAATCGGCCCACGTGGCTTGCTTCCTGCAAATAACCTCCAGGGCTCTACTGACCCGGGTCAATTTAGACCTGGGTCAGTCAGGGTCTGCAGGATCCTGCAAGATCCTGCAAGATCCTGCGGGATCATGCACCCAAGCCCGGGCCAATGCGACCCTGGCTCTGCAGGATCGTGGAAGATCCAGCGCCGTGACTGACCCCCGGTTGCATTGACCCCCGTCTCTCGAGCCCCGAAACCGGCCCGGCCTCGCCTCCTCCCTCCTAGCCCACTCCCTCCTCCTTCACAATTACTCAATCTGAATACTACTCTCCCTCTTCCCCTGATGACGGCCTGGAGTGTCCGACCCCCCCCCGCGTAGTGTTTTTTACACACAGGTTTCCACGGAGTTGGGTTTTCGCTTGCATTTGTTTTCAAAATGCTGGTCTCGCTGAGGCGCCGGCCTCATTTTCGGGCCCCGCTCGTTCCGAATCGTGCTCCCGCTGCAGCGCTGGCCTCATTTCCGTGCTTCCGCTCGTTCCGAATCGTGCTCCCGCTGCAGCGCTGGCCTCATTTCCGCGCTTCCGCTCGTTTCGACTCGTGCTCCCGCTGCAGCGCTGGCGTCATTTCCCGTGCCATGCCACGGCATGCAATGCAATGCTAGGTTGATACTACGCTTTGCGGTGCTCTTCTACGCCATGCCATGCCGTGCTCTACAATGCATCGCGTACCCTTTCGGGATCATTGCCCTGCTCGACATCCGACTGTGCGAGTAGAAAGGGGATCTGCGCCATGGTAAGGGATGGGAGGGAGGGGTAGGATGTCAGGTATGACGCGAGCGCACCTAGCTTGTCCTCCTCCCCCTCCCCCTCCTTCCCTCTCCTGACAGCATGCGCTCGGTGTGACGCCAGCACGCCAGGCTGAGTCACATAAAATCATACCTCCCCCCCCTTCCTCCCCCCGCCCCCCTCTCGTCCGACCCGGCCCTCGAGCCCTGGGGGCTCCCCAGGACCCCTGGGGGTGCACACCGCACGGCCATCCACGCTCGCGAGGGCGGCAGGGGCGGCCTGCGACCAGGGCGGGGGATGGCCCCCCGCAGCCGCCCCGGGGCCGCCCCCGGGCGGCCTCCCCTCGTCTTGGGCAAAATAAGCCGCCGCTATCCCGACGACATTCGCCAGCGTGGCAGTGCGGGCCGCCGCAACCCTGATTCGGACCACGGGGCGGGCCGACAAAGAAAAGCGGGCCAGGCAAGGAACAGAAACAGGCCGGAGAGCGAGGAAGGGGGGGGGAGAGGGAGGGGGGACGACAGGACGAGACACACTGGGCCGACAGACGGAGGGGAGGGGGGGAAGGGGAGGGGAGGCCAAGCAGATGGAGAGAGCGGGAGCACATCGCACAAAGGGCAAGGAAACACAAGGGCAGGGGGAGGAGCACAAGGGCCTGGTCAAAATCACAACGGACAGTTTTCCACGGTTTTCGGCCTCTGGGGGCCCGCCAAAAAACGACTCGAGATGCAAGGCCCGTCTCAGGAAAGGGGTCCAGACCTCTGAAGCCCCCGCTGCGACAAAAAAACACAACGTCGGAGTTCCAGGAGTGCACCGAGACCCCCGCATCGCCCGAAGCCAAAGCGCCTGTTGCGATACCCTCGAGGAGGCCTCCAAAAAGATATCCTCAGGAGGGCGACGGCGAAAAAGGACAGTTCCTGCCGTGCCATCCCAAGAAGAACAGCTCGACAAGGCCTCCAATTGGCATCCGGTTGCCCCCAAGACCACCTCTGGCCCGCTCCAGACAGCCGTATGACGGCCCCAAGGCCACGGGGACAGCACCAATATGCCGAGACGACCAAGGACTGTCTAATCTCGACGGCGCGCACGGAGGGGGAATGTGAGGCGGGAGGTCTTCTCAGAGGCTGGCCGGGGGCCGTCTGGGCTTCTGAGAGACAGCCTACGTCTTCGGGGAAAGCTTGGAAAACTTCTCAAAGGCTGGAGGCCTTCCGACCCTTCTGAGGAAGCCCGCCCCCTTTGGATCCCCCCCTCGGCTCGCCGCCGATACATAGTCTGGCCCCCCACGAGCACCCCAAGGCGTCCCCAAGACCCATCGCGACCCAGAGACCCCCCGCCCAGACGGCCCCCCGAATCCTCGAAGGCCCCCGCAGAGGCCTCCAACAGACAGCCGCGAAAAAGGACCCGACACGGCTCACAGCGACAACCAAGCAGCATCATTAGCTTACCAATATACAGCGCTACAGCAGCGCAGCTTCCGAAAGCGCGGTGACGAATACACGCGGCAATGCACCTGAGTTGCGTCCCTATCGCACGCTCCATGCGAGCACGGGGCGCATTACCAAGCTCCTCACAAAACACTGAATTGCCAGCGGCGCCGTGCGTCGGCATCCAACGGCGGTCTGGGCACACGCGCGAATGCGCGCACGCAGTACACACGCGGGCAGCAAGGCAAGAATGAGGCATTGCAGGCAGCAGAAGAGCGAGGCGAGAGCGTTGCAGAGAGAGAGCGCGACTTTGAGAAAACATACCCTGAAAGCACGCATCGGAACTCTGAATCCAGACCAGAATGAGCCATGAAACGCAGAGAGAGAGAGAGAGACAGAGGGGGGGGGGAACAGGAAGAAGCAGACGGAGACGGAAAGTGAATAGGACAGCTCGTGAAGAAAGGAAGAAGACAGGGGAAGGACCCTGTCTGAGCGCCCCCTTCCCCTCCGCAGCAGATGCCACCCGCAAGCGCTGCCTTGACGTAGAAGCCCGACGTGAAGGGGCCTCTTCGGCTGGCCCGCAAGAATGGAACACGAGCCTGGAAGAGCGTTGTGGCGAAACCAGAAACAGCGAGAGCAGAAACATGAGCAGAGTCACGACGGAGAAAATTAAAGGACAGGACACAGAGGCAAAACAACAAAACATAGACTTCCGGAACTCCCAGAAAATCTGTCTATGCAATTTTCCTTCTTCGAGATGAGCAGGAGGAGGGCGAACACGGGAAGGGCAGCTACTGCAGGCGACGTTGCGAAAAAATGTGAGCAACATCGTGAAGCGCTTTGCCCCCCCCAAAAAAACATAATCGAACCAACTACGTGTGTCAGCCCTCCTGTGGAACGGTGAAGGTCAAGGGAGAGACGAAAAGGCCCTGACCGTGCGGGAAGCCCGGGCCCAGTCTTACGCGTTGCTGGCCCGCTGGCCCGTAGGAGGGGGTAACATCCACCACCCTCATATTCCTCCTCCTCCTCCTCCTCCTCCTCCTCCTCCTCCTCCTCCCGCCTCTCCTCCTACTCCTTCCTCCCCTCCTCCTCCCTCCTCCTACTCCTCCTCTACCCCCTCGTTCTCCCCTCCTCCTCCCCTCCTCCTTCCCTCCTCATCTCCTCCCTTCCCCTCCTGATCCGCCTCCTCCTCCTCCCTCTCCTCCTCATCATCATCATCATCATCATCATCATCATCATCATCATCATCATCATCATCATCATCATCATCATCATCATCAGCATCATCATCACCAACAACAACAGCATCAGCATCATTAGCAGCATCAGCATCATCATCATCATCATCATCATCGTCATCATCACCATCATCATCAGCATCAGCATCATCATCGTCATCATCTGAATCATCATCATCATCATCATCTTCAGCAGTATCATCATCATCAGCATCATCAGCAGCATCAGCATCATCACCATCATCATCATCGTCATCAGCAGCATCATCATCATCAACAGCAGCAGCATCATCATCATCGTCATCATCCTCAGAATCAGCATCATCATCAACAACACCAGCATCACCATCACCGTCATCCTCATCAGCAGCAGCATCATCATCAACAGAATCATCATCATCATCATCATCGTCGCCGTCGTCGTCATCATCATCAACATCATAATCGTCACCGCCATCATCATCATTGATCATCATCAGCATCAACATCAACATCAGCATCAGCATCAGCATCATCATCATCATCAGCATCATCATCAGCATTATCAGCATCAACATCAACATCGACATCACCATCACCATCACCATCATCATCACCATCATCATCAGCATCATCAGTATAATCATCATCAGCAGCATCATCATCAGCATCATCAGCATCAGCATCAGCATCAGCCTCATCATCAGCATCAGCATCATCATCATCATCGTCATCATCATCATTGTCATCGTCATCATCCTCAGCATCAGCATCAGCATCATCATCAGCATCATCATCCCATCATCATCAGCATCAGCAACAGCATCAGCATCATCATCAGGATCCTCCTCCTCCTCCTCCTGCGCCTCCTCCTCCTCCTGCTCCTCCTCCTCCTTCTCCTCCTCATCATCATCCTCCGCCCCATTATGCTCCTCCTCCTCCTCCTCCTCCTCCTCCATCTGCTGTTGCTCCTCCTCCTCCTCCTTCCTCCTCCTCTTCCTCCTTCTCCGCCTCCTCCAACTCATCCTTATCCTCCTCCTCCTCCGCCTCCGCCTCATCATCATCATCATTATAATCAGCATCATCATCACCACCACCATCAGCATCGTCATCAGCATCATCAGCATCAGCATCATCATTATCACCATCAGCATCATCATCCTCAGCATCTCCATCATCATCATCATCATCATCATCATCATCATCATCATCATCATCATCATCATCATCATCATCATCAGCATCAGCATCAACATCAACATCAACATCAACAGCATCATCAGCAGCATCGGCATCAGCATCAGCATCAGCATCATCATCATCATCATCAGCATCATCAGCAGCAGCATCAGCACCATCATCATCACCGTCGTCGTCAACCTCAACATCATCATCAACAACATCATCATCTCCGTCATCGTCGTCATCGTCAACATCAGCATCATAATCATCATCAGCATCTTTAGCCTCATCACCGTCACCAACAACAACATCACTAGTATCACCATCGTCATCAGCGTCAGCATCATCATCACCATTACCACCACCGTCATCGTCATCATCATCATCAGCATCATCATCATCAGCAGCAGCATGATTATCATCGTCATCATCATCGTCGTCATTATCATCATCGCCACCACCATCGTCATCATCAGCATCATCATGATCGTCATCATAAGCATCAACATCTCCATCATCATCATCATCATCAGCATCATCATCATCATAATCACCATCAGCATAATCATCATCAGCATCATCATCATCGTCATCATCAGCATCATCATCCTCGTCAGCATCATCATCACCTTGATCCTCCGCCTCCTAATCATCCACCTCCTCCTCTTCCTCATCCTCCTCCTCATGCTCATCATCCTCATCATCCTCATCCTCCTCATCCTCCTACGCCTCCTCATACTCTTCCTCCTGATCCCCCCCCCCATCCTCTTGCGCCTCCTCCTTGTCACTCTTCATCCTCCTCCTCCGCCTCAGCTTCCTCCTCCTCCTCCTCCTCCTCCTCCTCCTCCTCCTCCTCCTCCTCCCCCTCCTCCATCCTCCTCCTGATCCTCCTCCTCCTCCTCCTTCTCCTCTTCCTCCTCCTCCTCCTCTTCCTCCTTCTCTTCCTCCTCCTCCTCCTCCTCCGCCTCCTCCTGTTTCTGTTCCTCCTCCTCCTCCTCCTCCTGCTCCTCCTCCTCCTGTTCCGGCTCCTCTTCTTCCTCCTCCTCCTCCTCATTATCCTCCTTCTCCTCCCCCTCATCCTCCTCCTGCTGCTCCTCCTCCCCATCATCATCAGCAGCGTCAGCACACTCATCCGCATCGACATCATCATCGTCATCATCATCAGCATCAGCATCCGCAGCATCATCATCAGCATCATCATCAGCATCATCATCATCAACATCATCATCGTCATCATCATCATCATCATCATCATCATCATCATCATCGTCATCGTCATCGTCATCATCATCATCGTCACCATCATCATCATCAGCAGCATCATAAACCTCATCCTCAGCATCATCATCATCATCATCATCATCATCATCATCATCATCATCATCATCATCATCAACATCATCCTCATTAGCAGCAGAATCAGCATCAGCATCAGTCGAATCATTGACATCAGCATCGTCAGCATCCTCATCGTCATCAGCATCAGCATCATCATCATCAACAACAACAGCCTCATCATAATCAGAATAAGCATCATCATCAGCATCATCAGCATTATCATCATTATCATCAGCTTCATCATAATCATCAGCCTCATCATCAGCATCATCATCATCACCATCATCATCACCATCATAAGTAGCATCATCATCATCATCATCATCATCATCATCAGCATCATCATCACAATAATCAGCATCATCATCAGCATCTGCATCAGTATCATCAGTAGCATCATAATCAGCGTCAGCATCCTCAACATTATCAGCGTCATCATCAACAGCATCATCATCACCATCAGCATCGTTAGCATCATCAGCATCATCATCAGAATCATCAGAATGAGCAGGCTCAACAACATCATCAGCATCAGCAGCAGCATCGTCATCAACAGCATCAACATCAGAGCCATCAGCATGGGCATCATCATCAGCAGCAGCAGCATCATCACCGTCAGAAACGCCTTCGTCATCATCAGCATCATCATCAGCATCATCATCGTCAGCATCATCATGGTAGTCAGCATCACTATCAGCCTCATTATAATAGTGATAAGGATGATACGGATACGTATTTAAAAATACGTAGCATCGTCAATATAAACAGCATCATCGTCACCATCAGCATCATCATCAAAACCGCCACCACCACCACAATCATCATCATCCTCATCAGCATCATCAGCATCAGCATCATCATCATCAGCATCATCAGAATCATCACCTGAATCAGCATCACAAGCATCATGATCAGCAGAATCACCATCTTCGTCATCAGCATCAGCACCATCACCATCATCATCAGCATCATCATCAGCATCATCAGCATCACTATCAGCAACATCAGCATCAGCATCAGCATCAGCATCATCAGGATCAGCATCACCAGCATCGTTATCATCACCATCAATTCCAGCATTATCATCACCAGCATCATCTTCGTCATCATCATCAGCGCCATCACCATCATCAGCAGCATCATCATCAGCATCAGCATCAGCATCATCATCAGCATCAGCATCATCAGCATCATCAGCATCATTATCATTTCCATCAACACGAGCATTCCCATCATAATCATCATCAGCAGCAACATCAGCATCAACATCACCATCAGCAGCATCATCATCATCAGCATCAGCATCATCATCATCAGTATCATCATCATCAGTGTCATCAGTATCATCATCATCAGTATCATCATCATCATCATCATCATCATCATCATCATCATCATCATCATCATCATCATCAGTATCATCAGCAGAATCATCAGCATCAGCATCTGCATGATTATCAGTATCATTGGCAGCAGCATCATCAGAATAATGATGATCATCCGCTCCTCCTCCTCCTCCTTCTCCTCCTCCGCTCTCCTCCTCCTCCTCCTCCTCATCATCATCATCATCATCATCATCATCCTCTTCCTCCTACTCCTCCTCCTCCGCCCTCATCGTCTTCATGCTTTTCCCCGCCTCCGCCCCTGGCGGGGCGTGGTGCTTTTCTCTCGCTTCGCAGGTTGTCAGAGGTGGTCCGTGCCCCGAGGTGCCCCCAGCGTTTCCTCCTTGTGTCTCCCAGACTCCACAGTTGGCTCCCTCCTTCCCTCCGCCTCCACCACGGGCTCGCGAGGAAAGCAGGAGGGCGAGGCAGGGGACCATCCCGCCGAG